ATTGTTTTATTTTAGACGAAACTCTATCGTACTTTTTTAATCCAAAAATAAATCTGCAACATGAGTTTTGGATTTTTTGTAACCTATAATTCGTAAATTGATCTAAATAAAGATAAAATAAAACCAAGCCATAATTTATAATCGATAAAACTAAACTCTCACATAGAAGTTTCCGCAAGGGAAAACTGAAAATTTTTCGGTTCCTGTATAATTGACGAAGAACTAAATAAGATTTCTTTACCAACAATGAAATATGCCCTTCAAAACGTAATTTGCAATCAAAAATAATGCCAAGACTTTTGACGCTACTAACAACTTTCAAAGGTTGGTTTACTATGACCAGTTTGATATTTTTTAAGCAACTTGCATTGGCAGTTTTTTGATGGAAGAACATTACAGAGCACTTATTACCATTTAGTTTTAGATTGTGAGCTTTAAAATACTTGACCACTTCGTTTAAGTCTCTGTTTATGTGGTCAGAAATACTAGTGAAGTTTTTTAGATCAAATGAGCAGTATGGTTGAGTGTCATCGGCAAAAGTTTGAATTTTAACGTAATTTAGAAATGAATTTATGTTGGCAGTGTAAATTAGAAAAAGTAAGGGACCCAGTACAGAGCCTTGAAGAACTCCAAAAGTTACACATGAAAAATTTGATGAACTATTATCTAGAACTACTTTTTAATGTCGATTACTTAACTAAAATTTGAAGAATCTCAAGGAAGTATCATCAAAACCATAATAGTTTAGTTTATCGCACAATAAGTAGTGGTCAAGAGTATTAAATGCTTTCGAAAGGTCTAATTGTGTTAATTCTGTAGTCAGCTTTTCATCAAGGGATTTTATTATGTGGTCACTGACATTTAATAAAAGGGTAGTTGTACTAAATCCCTTTCTGAAGCCAGACTGAGTATTACCAATAATACCATTTGTAAAAATATACTCGTACACTTGCTTACTAATAGTTTTTTCAAGAATTTTTGAGAAGTTTGGAAGAATACTTATAGGACGTAGATCGCTAAAACTTTCAGGATTTCGAATTTTAGGTAAGGGTTTCACTAGAGCGAGTATCCAAATATCAGGGAAATAACCACGTTCTAAACAACAATTTACGATATGTGTTAGAAAAGGTGCGATTACATATCTCTATTCGTTTATGAGATAAAGCCTGGATGAATCAGTCTGGTATACCCTGTATATAGTTTTCCTCATATCGGTAGCTCTTGGTACATCAGTCCTTTGTAATTTTCTCACCGTTTGATAATTTTCTTAATACCGTGGTCCTTATGTTTGTCACGTGTAAAATCCATCTTAAAATACGTGAAGCGATTATCCATGTATGTATCTCTCTCATTTTGATACTCTTCGTATAATAAATTTTGGATATTGTAGGGAATTTGGGCTATAATTTACTTAACTTTAATAATCTGCGCAAAGCAAGAAGGCAGGCTTTTATCCTAGCATGGTTTTTAACCCATATAGGACATTTTTTTAAATCATTATATTGTCGAAATAAGTTTATTTTAGTATTTAAGAAGTATATACAATTAATTGAAATTTAAAGTTATTTCTTTTTATAATTTTTATTAAAAAGACATTTTTTATATCGGTAAACGAATATTTCAGAACAGTCTATTGATAAAATAAAACAGAGCAAAACATAACTGTTTTTCGAGAAGCAGACAGTAAACTAACATTTTAACAGATAGGATTATTACGAGATGGCACTTGGAACTCTTCCGAAAATATCCTTCCAACATACATTTTATCCCGAAGAGAGAACGGGGTCTCCAAATGTTAGTGACAGTAAAATAAATTTGTAGAGTAGGTTTCTTTTGAGAAATCCCTAGTGATTTCAGAACGGACATGTGATCAACAACCCTAAGGGCGCTGATGTGACAATTAAATCAGTGGCGGCGTGTGTTCAAAAATACTTTCTAATTTATTATGAATTATTTTGGATAATTACTTTATTATTACTATAAAAATACTAAGATAAAAAAATGTTGATTTTGAGTTAATCTGATCATTATGATTTAAACAAAAAATCTTTTTGTTACTATGATAAGATAAATATATAAAATTAATTTAATTATTTACGGAGAGGGGCAGGGGCTCGGCTTAGCAGGTTCACTTATTGTGTATCGATATCTGCAGTCAGGTGAGACCCACCGCAGTTAGTAGTGATTATTTCAAGAAAGTCGGTGTAAATTAATTTTTTAAATGTGTCAGTGTTAAACTACTTTATAGGTTATAATTTCTAGGACAACGTTGCTAACACAACTAAAATATTAGTGAGTGTAATGATACAAACAAATTTTGTAAAGCAATAAATAAAATGCAATGGAAAAATTATAAATTTATTGCGCCAATAATGCAAAAAAAGTAACTTTAATTTAAAATGATTAAATGTGAAATTTAAATACATATCACAATTCAAAACAGATGAAATAAATATCTCCATTAATATTTATGATTTCTTGTATTGTTCTAATTATTGATAAATGTTTATCTTCTGCCAAGCTTTCTCAGGTTTCTACAATAAAGTTTCATAAATGTTCTCTGTCTTGGGGAGTATAATTTTTGTAATTTTTTTATCACGTCCCCAAATGTTCTCGATTGGATTCATATCTAGACTTTTATAGCCCTTTGGCATGAATCAATATTTATTTCAATAAGGTAATCACGTACACGGTCAGCGGTGAGTACTGAGCTATTATCATGCTGGAAAATAAAATTATTATCTTAGATTTATTTTAGTAGCGCACTTTTGTAAAGTTAAAATCCCCAACTTTTTGTAAGAAACCATCTCATCTGCTTTTAAATGTAAGGTGGACAAAGCTGCAATTAATTTAATAACAGTGAATGATATTTGCAGAAAAATTACCCTAAAATCTTACCATTAGCCTTTAATTTTAGTTTAGGATCAGTCGTTTTATTTCTTCTAACAATTTTTTTTGTATAAAAAGTAAAAATTGTTTGCCAACAGCAAAACTGCGACTCGCTCCCGGCTTGCCAAAATTTCATAATTGTTCCAGATATAAATAAAGTGTGATCCAAGTTCAAATCGGAGGCCGTACCCTAATCCAAACTGTTTAAAATAAATTATTCAAATAATAATATTTCTCTCTATAATTCAAATAAAAAGTAATTCATTTGAAATTTGTCTTTCAAAAATCAAAATACCGATTTTATTAAAACTCCAACACAGGTATATAGTCCATAAATAAAAATATGAACACCACTAAATTTTATTAAAATATTAGATGTTTAAAAAAACTAATGTTCAAACCGTATATAACCATAGGGACACTTTCGGTTGTAGTCCCCAATTTTTTCCACACAACCTTCGACATAAGTTGAAGGATGTTGTGCTCTTTTGGGGTGACATTGTGCAAGTGTTGATTCCATGTTAACCTGTGGTCAAAGATGACTTCCAAGTATTTGGCCTCTTGAGCAAATGGAATTTTCACTCCTTTCAGTACTTTTTGTCTGCTCGATTTTTCAGTCCGTGACGTCACATCCTTCCTTAGCAACGGACTGAAGAGGCTACCGTGTTATCTATGAGCCGTGTTTTCAAAGAATGCATTTTGAGGTTATAAGCTCATAATTCACAATTAATTCCGACTAGCTTTATACTACCTTGGATAATTAGTGTCTCTTATTACAACAGATTTTTTAAATTTACTTAATAACAGTAGACGAGTAATAGTGGATTTAAGAAAAATTTTATTTCAGTATTAAAATACCCTGAATACGAAAATCAGACAAAAAGCGATGAGCATATCTTACCGAGACAATGGAATTAGCAATAGATGCTGTTAAATATTAGGGTTATTCATTGGGATCAGCGGCGTTAAGCTATAGTATGCCTAAATCAACATTGGGATTAAGAAAGCATTACATTACACAAAACATTACATTATTGGGAGTGGTAGAAAGTCAGACTTATCCTAAACTGATAAAAATACTCTTGCCTTGTTTCTGAAACAGTTTGAGACTTTAAAATATGGTTTTACCAAGCTTGAAACACTTCAGTTTGTTACCCAATTTGTAAATGATACAAACATGAAAACAAAATGGGGTGAAAAAGGTCCTTGAGATGTATGGTTTAAACATTTTTATGAGAGGCATCCACAGTTATCGATTAGAAAAGGTGAACTATTGAGGCAACAGGGAATTTGAGGTTCTAATCAAGATACAATATTGGATTGGTAAAAAAATTTAAAAAAGTTATTAAAACAAGAGAAAATTACATCGGAAGATATCAAACTAATCTTAAACTGGGATAAATTTGATTTTAGTCACTATCTAAAAGACGTCAAATTAGTGACACCTAAAGGATTTAAAAGAGTTTCCAAAAATATTGTTGGGTCTGGTAAAAAAAATACTACAGTGTTGTCTTGTCATTGACTACCTCTTAAGAAGAAACGTTAGCATAGCTTAAAGCAGTTTCATTCTAAAATCAATCATCAACGTATTTAACTAATGATCAGTGATCTTCAGTTTCTGAAGCCAAACAAGAACATCATAATTCCCTTATTGTAAGCGAGACACCGAACATAAACAAAGCTAACACATCTAAAAATCTTAGTCTAAGTAAAGCCCTTTAACAATTTTATTAAACACAATCTCTTCCAAAATTTGACAAAAATGTTGCTTTTAAAGGGTCAAACTAACTGACAAAATTGGTAATATTCTTACATCCAAGCAGGCATTATCAAAACTGAAAGATAAAAGGACTCAAATCAGCCACGGCCAAAATTGGACAAGAAAGCAAAACCAATAAAAAAACCCAGACAAATACTACCACAAAAACTGTACCTAAAACTAAGAAAAAACAACATAAAAACAACCATATTCCGAAGATGACGAAAATATAAATCCTGAGAAAATTTTAGAAAGTGATATTGGAAGCGAGGATATTAATTTTAAATCAAATGATGAAACTATAAAAAAATTGATAATAAACAAGATCATTTTTATGCTGTTTATTATGATAATGATTGGTGTATCGGGCAGGTAACGCAACTTCAAGAAGAACATATTACTGAACTGAATTGTCTACAGTTTGTCTTAAAATACACATTTTCATTGCCAAAAAATAAGGATAAATCTACAGTTGAAAATGATTTCATATTTTATGGTACACTTGATTTTCGTGGTGCAGCTCCGTTCGTTATTACAAGACATGAATTATCTTGATTAAAAACGAAGTTTAAACATTTTTTAGCAAAAATTTAAGACTTTTTGTATTGTTATTTTTTTTAAACTATTTATTGGACCTTTTATGCAATTTCTTTTAATAAAACAAAATGTTCATTTTATTTGCAAATTTTTAATTTGAATTTTTGGTTAGGGTTTTTTCACACCAAATTTTATATCATACAATATTTTTTGTATTTATAGTTAAAAAGATAAATATTTTTGGGTACTATATAACTTTATAAACTGTCTATTATTATATTGAGAACCTTCTAGTGTTGATGGTATAGGAAATATATTCTTTGTCTCTTATTACAAAACATCGGTAATAAGAAAAAAATATAAGAAAAAAAAATTATTTTACAAAATTCTCCTTTAATTAATATACATCAATATACTATCTAAATATTAGGAGTCCAATTTTACTAAATTGCAATGTCACGTCTCTTAGTACCTAGATTGTCTCTTATTAAAGGGCTCTCCCATATAAGAAACTAATTTAAATACGAGTATTAAAACTAAAATCCTAAATGCGGTGGTGGAGGTGAGTCATGGCACCTGCCTTCCACGCGAGAGATCTGAGTTTAAGTCAGGGTTGGGAACTTATTATATTAAATCTTTTTATTTATATTTATTTTATTTTATAAATTAGTAAAGGTCATAAATTATTTTAAAATTTGTTATTTTGCCAATAACCTATTTTTTTTTAAATTTGTATATTTTCTTCTTAGACAAAATATACTGTACAACTCAAGTGGATTGTCCATATCCACTCTTGTTGCACAAACTATTATTATAACACTTAATCTCAGTTTGCAGATAATATAAATTTCTCGGTAAGATTTTGAAATGCAAGAGCTTACCTATTCCTCGATTTTAAAACACTTATTATAAAATTTATTTATTTTGTTTATGCCATTTACGACTTTTTATTCTATTACTTACTTTTCGAGCAATTTTTCTATTAATTTTCTTTTCGATCATTTTTCTTTTCTATTAGTTGTTTTTTCGATCAAACATATTAAGGATTAAACTATACTTCTGTCCCAATGTATTTATCAATTATGAGGACTTGGTATATTAATAGCATTTCTTTGATTTCTGTGAATTCTTTTTTTGCACTATCTTGCCTGAAAAAAAAAAAAAAAAAAAAACTAAACAAAAACACGTAAAAAATCCCCAATGTACATTTCAACCGCATTATATTCACACTATATCACTAAAAGACTTTGATATGCAAACGAACTAAACCGAAAAATTTTATCTCTGAAACGATAATCATTCTTTCATTTCCTTTTTTATTACATTGCTTTATACAACGTGAAAATGGCCGCGTATGAAGTACAAAATTAAATAATAAAATTACAGAATTTCCATACGAGAGAAATATTTTTCAGGAAATAGTGACTCATTTATAATAACGTAAAGTTGTGCGGTTTTTTATTTAATAAATCGACAAAAAAAAATCAAATGAGGTACGTAATCGAATTTTAAAACTGGAAACCGAAATTGTATTTTATTTCAATTAATGCGTACTTTAATTGCTTAATCTCATGTACACCTTTAAAGTAGTCTTCTAAAAATCCTTATGCCTTTTGGAGTGTCGAGTTTTAAGTCATTTCTTACTTTAATCCAATTCTCCTATTGCTTTGGGTCCGGTGTCATCCTTATTATGTATCCTTTATGCTCTTTCTTATTTTCTTTTAATAAGTTTTCCAATTATTCCATTTATTTAGGTCCCGTGTCATCCCTATTGTTGTCGCTCTGGTTCTTCCTCTTTATTAATATTAAATATCAGTAAGTCCAACATTGGACAGTCACGTTTGTTAACAATATAAAAATCAACACATCATTAACAGAACAATAATTATCACAATATATTAAGATATACATATAACATAGGTATGCGGTGTATTGCATGTGTGATGATGCATTTTTCAACTCTTTATCTAGCCGATTAATTAATCTCAATGAGATAGTGTGTAACGTTCTAACGTTATTCGTCACAGTAGACAGAGCCAAAAATACAATTGTCTTTCTTAATTCAAAAACCCCTCTTACCATGGATTTTTGAATTGTGGGTTTACCGTCGATGATAGATCGGATGAAACTGGCAGTGGTGCCCAGAGGCCGTTTGAATTAGAGGTAAGTGGCTTTTTGCTTGTAAGACGTGAATACCTCGTTGTGTTGAAAGAATTTTGATTTTGATATTTTATCGTTATTTATTTGTTTATTATTAAGTAAGTAATGGAAAATTCGACAACGCATCGAGATATTCGGGTCAGCTTACCTTGGGTTCAAGGGGTCGCTGGATTCTACTGCCACCGCATAATTTTTAAACTATTCTTTGAGTTATAAAATCAAAACCTTAAAGCCATTACATATCATAATGCTGGTCAAGATGTTGTCTTTTGTCTTCCTAGACTGAAAGGGTGAGATTTTCTTTGTTCATAAGACCAAACATTACTCTCGTGTGTTATTTAAAAAATGTTTTCTTTTATTTCATTCTATGACTACCAGTTAAAAAGCATGTTAAATTTGAGATTAAAACTTTATCAAGAATTTAAATAGTTTTTTAAAAAATCAAAGAAGCAACATATACTTTCTAATTTATACAAGGTTCTCTAAAAAAGTGATACAATATCAAAGTTTTCCTAAATGGGACACCTTGTATTTCATGTAATATTTGAATTTTCCTTGCTTTTCTCATTATAACAATAAAATAGTCTGAGAGTATGCAGTATTTCACACGCTATAACCAGTTTTATATAAAAATCGTACTGATTTCAAAAACGTGTATAGTGCAAAAGAAACATTTGAAAACCATTTTTTTGGAATAAAAGGTTTTCATTATTATGTTTACCGATGCACTCCTTTTTTAATTTTAAACAAATCTTTATAGGGTACGTCAATACTGAAATACATAATTTTCCCATTTTTTTTTTAATTGTATATTATATCACCATTTAAAAGAACGTTTCTTAAAGTTCAATTTGAGTCAAGCATTGTCTATACCTAAAACTAATAATTTTGGGAGATTTTTAAATCTAAATGATAAAAAAGATAAGTCACAAAATAGTTTAATTTTAATTGGTCACTGGTTGACTGGAAATAGACTGTGTGTTAATTAGTGATTAGAATTTCACTAGCTGTAATTTATTGATTAAATTTTTTTTTTAAATATCCTTAAAATTTAATAACTATTTAGGAAAAATGTGTTTATTGGAATCATAAAAATATTATTATTTTAAAAGATTTTTTTTTAAATATGTCTAAAATGTTTTTATTGAAACGACAATTCAAATAAATACATAAGAAATAGTAATAAAAAAATGTAAAATGAAAATTTCAAATAAATGGTTAAATATTATTAAAATTTATAAAGTACTAACTAGTAACTACCTATTTGTGACAAATGTGTTTATTGGATTCGTATATATTATTGTTCTTATTTTAAAATATATTTTTCAGCGAATAAAAGTAAAAATGTTTTTATTGAGACAAAAATTTTATCGAATACATAAAATAAAGAGCAATAAAGCAATTTTAAAATTAGAATGAGGACATATAATGCTTGGCATTCTATTTTATACTCTTCACAGTTTAAAAGACCCTCTGCTTAACCAGCGATTTTTTTATAAATATTTTTTTGGGGATAAATAGGCTTTATCTCCCTATAAAGCTAACTTTTTCCAATGATTTCAAGTAAAAATAATTTTTCGTTTTCGATTTTTTAAATATTTTAACCCACTTAACCTCCCAATTTTTATTTAGATTATTTTCTTTTAGTAATAAATAGGCTTCATCTCCTTATAGAGCTTGATTTTTATTAAACATTTCAAGCTGATATAATACTTCTCTTAGATGAATGATTTTTTTTTTAATTTTAACCTACCTTAACCCCCTACTGTTATTCAGATGTTTTTAAAATTTAATAGGCTTCGTTCTCTAATAGGACTTGATTTTTCCTGAAAATTTCAAGTTGATATAATGTTTCGGTTTGATTTATGATTTTTTAAAGTTTCAACCCCCCATTAATCTCCCTATTTTTAATCGGATTTATTTAAAATTAGGAGATTTCGTCATCTGATAGAGCTTGATTTTTTTTTTTTATTTCAAGTTGGTATCATATTTCGTTTTAGAATTATTTTTTTACATTTAAACCCCGCTTAAACCTCTACTTTTATTGTTTTTTTTTTTTTTTTTTTTTTAATTTAGTAGACTTTATCCCCTTATAGGACTTGATTTTTTCTGAAAATTTCAAATTTATATCATATTTCGTTTTTAAATTATGATTTTTTTAAGTTTTAACCCCCCTATAACCTCCTATTCTTAATTAGATTTTTTTTAAATTATTAGGTCTCGTCCTCTCATAAAACTTCATTTTTCCTAAAAATTTCAAGTTGATATTAGTTTTCGTTTATGATAAGTTTCAACCCCCTCTTAAAGTCCCCATTTTTATTCCGATTTTTTTCAAAATGAATAGGCTTCGTCCTCTTATAGAGTTTGATTTTTCCTATAAATTTCAAGAAGATATGATGTTTTGTTTTTGAGTTATCGTGCGGACAAAAAACGTGACATCTGACGGACAGACAGACGGACAAAAGTAATACTCTTCACCAACTACTGTGTGAAGAGTATAATAATGTAAATATTTGGTAAAATATTATTACAATTTATTAGTTTCTAATTAGTAACTATTTCTATTTGGGACAAATCTATTGAATTCGTATATTATTATTCTTATTTTAAATAAATACATGTAAAAATGTAATTTGTTTTATTAGCCAGAAAAGCACAAGATTGAATGCCGTGGC